ATTTTAATTTTATTTTATTTAAGTTCTGGGATATCATGTGCAGGAACATGCAGGTTTGTTACGTAGGTAAAATGGCCGGCCCATGGTGGTTTGCTGCACCTATCAATCCATCACCTAGGTATTAAGCCATGCATGCTTTAAGCTATTTAATCCTGGGCTCTCCTTCCCCCGCCTCTGCCCCCAGACCCCAGTATGTGTTGTTCCCCTCCCTGTCCCCATGTGTTCTCATTGTTCAGCTTCTACTTATAAGTGAAAACATGTGGTGTTTGGTTTTCTGTTCCTGTGTTAGTTTGCTGAGGATCATGCCTTCGAGCTCCATTCATGTACTTGCAAAAGGCATGATCTCATTCCTTTTTATGATTGCATAGTATTCCATGGTGTATATGTACCATATTTTCTGTATCCAGTCTACCATTAATGTGTAACCCTCATTTTTGAGTGGATCACTCAGTGTAGAGCAATGCATGAAAAAAAAAAAAAAAAAAGACAGATTTGACTAGGACATTGAAGACTTGGCCCAGGGAGAGACAGAAAAATGCTTGATTCATCTATCATGTAATTATTTACGTTCCCTTCCACCAGTGTAGTGGCAGGTGATTTAGTCCATACAGTCAAAATCTTCCTTGAACATATATGAAATGCCCTTCTCTATATTTCTCCCATGAATAAGGAGCACCTTCTTCAAGTCGTCAATGACCACTGATGTTTCGACTTCTTTGTTCATCCCTCTTCTCTTATTCTATAGATACTAACTTAGCTACTTTATATATTAACATGGTTTTAGCCTATATTCTACTCCTGAATTCTAGACTCATGCATCCAACTGATTATTAACCATTTGCAGGTATCCTAACACCTTAAATTTAATGCATTTCTACTGAATTAATTATATTTGTTATAACCTCAGCCAATTAATTGGCTACTTGCCTCTTAGACTGTGTTTAGTCTTTTACTTATTGATATGTTTTGTACCATAATTGCATGTCTGAAATAATATTCCCTTCTTTGAAAGCTCCCTGTTTATAACCTAGGATTACCTTGGCAAGTCTCTGACCCCAGTCCTTGGAGACCAAGAGGAATCACCTGACTCTTGATTGGTCACCTACTTCTAGCCTCCTCACTTCCCATTCCTAGTCTGGTATCTTTAGTTATCACACACAAGTTCATCAAGGACTTATAGCATATTGAGTCAAAAAGCAGCAAATAGGTTTATCAGTAAGGGAGAGAGCCCAAGGAGAAGGAAACAGAACAACAAGAGGTTTCAGTAATGAAGTGGCTAAAATCTCAGAAAAGAAGTAAAAAATCAGATTAATGTCTGTGGAAAACAAGTGAGCAAGAATAGGGAGCTATTTCCATGATCAAAAGAACTTTTCACTAGCTGTATGTTTGATATGAAATTTGGAAACTTTCTGAGGTTCTGGCATCTTTATCAGAGAAGTTTAATTAGTTCATGTCCCTTTAGTCAGTCCTGTGGTCAGTGAATAGTTCCGAAGTGTGGCATCCTAGCGGAGGGTTTCCAGATTTCACATCTAAACCTTTTCCAATTTATTCAGCAGATATTTATTGCACACCTAATAGATAACACTGTAATCTTTGATATAACAGATTACCTCGTGGAATAAAAATGGGAAGGAGCATAAGAAGGTATGTATATGCCTTCTTTGCTCCAAATTATTATGTTATGAGCCAGTCCACAATGCCCAATGCAATGTTAACCTGGCACAACATGCAGTAGACTATTTGACTGATTACTCTGCATTTGAATTGTTGGCGTTTTCCATGTTTTAGTGTTTTCCTCTTCTAACCACGTCTTTCCTTTAGTAGCATGATAACTGAATGGCAGAAACCTTTTCTTAATAAAAATCATTTTTTTTTTCCTTTGGAGTTTGGTTGTTATTAAAACAGTAAAATAATTAAAAGTAATTTAAATAGCTAATTAGATAATCTTATAGAGTAGTTTCCAGCAATACATTCCCATTAACAAATTCCCTTAAAGCACGCATCGTTTATGGAGTGCAGTTTGTCACTGGGTTACTGATGATATAAATGCAATTATACACTTAGTGGAAGAAAGCATACACAAATAAACTCTGGTTCTCCATGAAAATTGCTATATCCATAACTGTTGAATCATTCTTACAAGTCCAAAAGATACATGGAAAATTCGGGCCTCGACATTTTAATTGACTTTGCAACTGTCTAGTGTCTGGTACTAAATCATATTTTTGACAGTGAAGATCCAAATTAAAGTTATGCCATTGTTTTGACAAAACTGACCCATGAGTTTATAAACCAAATTCTCCACTTAGTGAAACAAATGCTTTTTGCTAATTTGTTTTATTGTTACATTAACCTTTTTTTTTTTGTTTATAAAAAAACAACTTAATTGACTAGTTTAGTCAACATACTATAGCTAGATGATGAATTCAATGTTTGGAAGCAATTTCAATGTGATTTTTTATAAAATGGTTTTAAAAGTTAAGAAACAATTTGTCTCTTAATAAATGTGTAAAAATTTACTCTAAAACATTCTGAGAATTCTGATATTAAGGACTTTTGTGAAAACAAAAACAAAAACACCTCTATGTTCCATTTAAATTCACCAAAGTCCTTTTTTTAATTAAATGATTCTATTATATAAGACTTTAAATACACTATTGAAAATGTCTATATCCATGAAAGTAGAATCTCAGTATTGAAAAGGACTTCAGATTTAAATAAGCATCCAATTTCTGAGTGACAAACAAAGAATTTTATTTTACAGACAATAGAAATGCACGTATCAGAAATTTAGTGTCTATTGTGAGAGTACCTTGCCAAGTGTTGACGCAACAACAAACTTTAAAAATAACATTACAACCAACGTTTAATTGTGCTAACTCTCTTCAGTCAATGCTGTGGATATGCTAGATTCTTCTATGGGTGTGTATGTGTGTGCACACGAGAGAGAAAGAGAGAGAGAGAGAGAGAAATAAATAGCTGAACACCAACCAGAATGGAATTAACTGTGCAGTGCAGCTTAAAGAACTTCAAGTGACCTGTTAACCTGTTAAGAAGTTTTGCCTAGGGTCTATGGTACAATCATACTTTTTCAAAAATATCATACAAATGAGATGAAAACCCGTGTCACTCTCAACTTTTAAATTACGGGTATATTTCACAAACCAAATCAATATTTTCTCTAAACTTTAAGTGAAAATATTTATAGTTATATGTTTTTCTTTGCCCCTCCATTTTTCACCTCCCTGCCTCTTTCCTCCCTTCTTTTCACATTTCATGCTTCGTAAAAAAGCCACAAGAAGACAAGCACATATTTATTTAAATACATGTCTTTTGTGCATGTGCATATTGGTGATTTAATAAACTATAAATGCACACTTAAGCTCTCACATGTTTCTCTATAACTGATTCTCTTAATGTGGAAATCAACTTATTTGACAGTTAGTAAACACTTCATTTAAAATTTTAATTACATACTTATAAAAGAAGATTTGTTGAGTTATCATTACTTAACATTTGACTCTTTCCCAATAATGCAGTGATTATGTTCACAATCTTGGAGAGGGAAACTGTTAAACTTGACAGGAAAAGGCAGACATTTTTCTGTATAAAACTTAAATATAGATGTCCAGCAAACATCTAAAATTAAGCATCAAGCTGGAAAAAGTGTATTTCTCATAAATGTAAAGGACAAATGTTTATTTTTCTTTTACAAAAAAACTTTTATAACAGCAAACTTTACATAAATGTAAGCAACCATTCACGAATAAAAGCAATATGAAAGGTCAATAAACATATGAAAATATATTCCACAGTACAAGTAAAGTAGTACAAGTTAAAGATATTATACCATTCTTTATCAAATTGACAAAACTTAAAGGAATTGATAATATTTAGTTTTGAAAAAGAAAGTATTGTTGGTAGAAAGTATACATTTTCACGTTTATTTGAACTCTATTGATATTTGCCAAATTTGAAATGTATTGCCCTCTTGATCCATCGATCTCATTTTTTAGAAATATACCATAAAATGTATTTGGATAATTAGGTTTTCTCAAATATATTACTGCCAAGGTGCACAGATAGGTTTAGGCTTCCTTGCAGTATTATGACACAAAAACACCAAGACTTTTCCAAGTGTCCATTAACATAGGACCAATTAAATAATTTATATTTTTATGAGATGTAGCCATTAAAAACGAAGGAAACAATATCCAGATATGGAAAGATTTCCATCATATATCATTATATTTATAAATAAAATAATACAAAATATCAAACAATGTGTATAGTGTGATACTACCTCAGTAAAATTACCAGAGTAAAATGAAACGAGGAGTGGGAGAACACACACATGTCTTTTTCTGTGAAGAAAATTATAATTTGGAGGTCTCCACATGGGTAACTAGTTACCTGTTGACTTTGGGGGAAGAGTATGGGGAGGAGCTAAAGGAAAATATAACTTTTCCTCCAAACGAATCTCCATTTTCTTAAATAAATAGCATGCATTAGTTCTACAGTGAAATCATGAAGTATTGCCTCAAACAATGAAAGTATGTTGTAAAATTGAAATAGATTAAGTATATTTAAAGTCAACAATAGTGCAATTTTTCAATGATGATTTTGTTATTAAAAAGAGAAGAAAGGAACACTTGCAAGGTTTATCTGAATATCTGACTGTATAAACTGGATGATATCTCTATCTAGTTTTAATCTGACACACCAGGCCAAGAGTTTAATACAAAATCGACCGTACCTTTTTCCATTTATAAGAAAAACAAATGTGATAAAGATTTTAAGAACTGTTTTTGTTAAAATAGAATAAAAATAGTTATAAAGTTACTGAATAGAAAAATATTCTAGTTTAATTAAAATTATGAATCTTAACTGCTTTGTATCTTGGTATTGATTTACCCCAAACACTGGAAAAGCAAACACATGTAATCTTCCTTTGTATGTGGTAAGAATGGCATCTCTTTTCTTCTTCCTCCTTTTGGCAGCTTTCAGCCGTGCCCCAATTCCGATGGCTGTGGTCCGCAGAGAGCTATCCTGTGAGAGCTATCCTATAGAGCTCCGCTGTCCAGGAACAGATGTCATCATGATAGAAAGTGCGAACTATGGCAGGACTGATGACAAAATTTGTGACTCTGACCCTGCTCAGATGGAGAATATCCGATGTTATCTGCCAGATGCCTATAAGATTATGTCTCAAAGGTATGATACTTCTAATATTCTTTTCTTCGTGCATAATATAAACCTTCAACATGCATCTGTGTTACATATTGAACATAAGAACATAAACAGTGTTATGTATTTTAGAGTATTTTGAAATAGTTTTCCATATCTGACTATTCCCTATATCACCAAAATGCTAATTGCAAACAGCATTTGGAAAGTATTACAATTTACTGGATTATCTATTACATTTCACGGTCTGCAAGACATTGATTGCATGCTGTTATTTTGATAGTGTTCTCTAGAACTGAGTTCATTACATGAGAGAATAAATGTATTTTTCACAATTTGCAGAAATAGGATTTTCTCCAAATATGGCAGAAAAATTATTTTACTGCTAACAATAACTTTCTAACAATGTAGGGAAAAAAAGAAGTAAAATTAATAGGTAATTTTATAATCATTAATCAAAATATAGTAAGAGTATTGATTAAGGATTAGTTGGCCATGGAAAATAATTTTAAAAGTATTCTTTTGCTATTCAGCATATGAAATTAATTTAAATATTTGAGCAATCTAAATATGGCCATATTAACATAACATAAATATAAATATATAATATCAGTGGGTAAGAAAAATATTTTTGATTCTAAAAAGACTGGTCAATAGGAATGCATATTATATTAGGCTTAAATTATATTAAAATTTCTTGATAAGTTAGCTATATATTATATATATCTTAGATATTTGTTCACTATTACCATGCTTTCTTGGAAATCAGGGATAAAGTCATTCATTTACTATAAGTCTACAGCTATTCAGTTATTTCTTTTCCTTCTCTTATTTAATGACTTTTTAAAATATAGGGAAAACTATATTTTAGATAAAACTAAACAAATTGAAGTCTAAAAACAAAAACAGTAGATTTCAAGGTTTCTCTCTCTTGTACTTAAGAAAGCCTTCGTTATTTTTCACCTTTTGTCTTCTTCATATTCAAAATTCTGGCAAGTATTTTTGTGTGTAATTAATACATTCATAGTCGATATCTTATTTTTATAAATTACTGTTGTATAAACTATTAATACAAGTTATAATATGTCAAGTTTTTGATGATCAAGGCATCTGAAATGTACTTGAAGGATAATGAAATCTGGGCAAATCTGAGGGCTTTTAGTTGTCTGTTACTAAAATGACGGCTCATGCTAAGGTGAGCATTAATAAGAAATAAGATATTAAAATGAGAGATTTCATTTGATAAAAGTTTGGTTGCATCTTGTTGTTCTTGTGTGCCTCTATCATTGTTACATGTTTGATATACGTATCTCCAACTATATTAAATGCTATGCCTGAAAGACTTCTAATTATTTCATTGTCTGTAGGTATTTTAATGGCATTTCAGGAGTGATTTTCTATGAGTACTATTCAGTGGGCACTAGGACTAAATTGTTATGTTTTTTTGTTTTAGTTAATCAAACATAAGATTCTGTAGAATTCATTTGGAATGTGAGTTGAGAAGGAAATTCTGCCTTTCTCTGATTCATTTGTCACTTAAAATGTAATAGAAGCATTAGCTCTTTCATCTCTGTATGATTTTCACTGAAATTGTTTTAATCCTTTCATTGATATCATTAACGGCTCCAAAAATAAGCCTTTAATCTTATAATTATTTCAGAAAAGTAGTTATAACGGATCCTTTAGAGCCATTGAACTATATGGAATGCGTACACTAAGTGACAAATCTGTAGAGTAAAAATACTTTAAGCACCGTTAGTAAATCATTTGTGTAAGCCCTCCTGGTGGTTTCACAAATATGAGTTGTCAGTTAGCTGAAATAACTGTGGTTAATTCTCCATGGAAGCAAGTTTCTCACTTGCCTTTTTAACTGTTAAATGTACTACATTTAGACTTGTCCAAAGTAAACGTTTTTGACTCTCTGAGAAAAGAAATCAGGTTCTATTTTGTAAGCTCCCAAGAGACGCGATGGTCATGGTCATTTAAGCTGCTTTATAATGAACTTAGTTACACTATTATGCCAACCACAGCATGTTAAATAGTGCTAATAATTACTACTTATGATATGGACATCATACTAATGGTATAAACAGTTTAAATAGATTAAAGCATTTAAACTGAAATCATAATGGAAAACATGTTTTTTTAAAAGGTATCTTAATTCTTTTCTTTTGCTTAAACTTCTAGAAAGAGACTGTATCAGAGTCTAAACATTTCTAAGCGTGTCTTATGAAGGATTATTACTCAGTATAAACAGCATTATTATCACTGTATTCGTGTATAACCTTGTTTAAAAAGCCCATAACTTGCTTCAGCTTGATGCAGTAGAGAGATGCCCCAGGCAAGGAGCAACATGAAATGTCATTGAGGCAGATGTTTGAATACACATTGAACAAAGGCATAAATTAAACTGCATACTGACGTGTAAATTAAAGCTAGGTGTGAAAAATTTGGAAGTTGAATTGAAAGGCTGTAACTCTTGATTTCCATATTTTTCTTCAGTGGAGCTATGTAATCTGATATATGCTCTAGAGAAGCCACTTTCTTCATTGCTTTCCAGATTTCATGTTCTCCAATCACGTGTGCTCTCATGCCATTCTGTCCACCACCTACCAATAGTCCATGCTTTACCTCTGTTTCATTATCTTACCAGATAACTTGTTAAAATATCACAACAGATTTATTTGTCCTTCTCAGGAACTTACACTTTTACTCAATTATTATCATCTACATCCCTCTTTAATCTCATCTAAACATTAACAAACCTATATTATCATACAGCTGCCTTGTCTAAAGCAAATTGTGGGCTTCTAGAAGGCAGACTGCCTGTTAATTTTACCTAAAACCAACTTGGTATATATAAATTAATAAATAAATATGCTCTCTAATTTTGTTATGCCACTTAAAATCTTTCTTAACTCTATTATTTGAATGGTTTCTATTTCTTTTTGTTTTATTTTTATAAATTTTAGAGAGTTTTTTAAAAAATATTACACATAACTTTGGAAATCTAAATATGAAAATGACAGTTTAGCAACTAGATAACTAGAAATTTTACATTTGGCATTCAGCTTAGGTTTCATGTTATTCTTAACTATTAATGGAAATATTTCAGTTGTTAACCAGCACTTACTTGAAAGTTTACAACGTTCAGTTTACCATGACAGTTACTTTGGGGTTTGATGGATAAATAAGTTAGTTGTGTTTTCTCCCCATAAAACTATGTATTTTTTGGCAGATGAGAAAACTCAACTATATCATTTGCTCAACATTTTACTTTTTATCTCATTTATATGTATTGAAGAGATTAAAGGAGGAAGGCTCTTTCAGCTAAATGATACAAGAGCGCATTTCACTGGAGAGGAAATCTTAGAGCTACTTCTTGAAAGATGGCAGCATTAGTGGAACCAGAAGAGACCTAAGTGATACTAGCTATGTAAGTGGAAGAACACTAGTAAAGAACACAAGGGCATAGCTTTTTTCCAGTAATATTTTGCTCATCCTCCGTTCACAAGTTTATTACTGTTCTGCTGTGGACTTTTTATTGATGTATAATATATCTACAGAAAATTGCATATATCATACATGTACACCTCAATGAATTTTCACAAATCAAGCTCATCCATGTAACTATCACAGACAAGGCAGAAAATTAATGTCGCCTTAGAAAGCTCTCCCTTGTGCTCTGCACCAGCCATATTCCTTCCTACAAGGATTGCCCTATCCTGATTTCGAAAACTCTAAATTAGTTTTGCCCACTTTGTAATTTTAGTAAAAGGTTTCATATATTATATACTTTTTGTCTGGCTCCTCTCGTGTAATGATTTATTTTTAATGTAAATCTGTTGAAGCATTTGTATATCCTGTATAGTTCACTCATTTCAATTGTACAACGATGTTTTTAGTGAACTTAGCAAGTGTTGCAACCATTGCAATAAATCAGTTTTGGAATATTTTTTGTCATCACAATAAGATTCTGCATGCCAATTACTGTTCATCCCAATCTCCTTCCTCATCCTGTGCAATGTCCAATCTACTTTCTGTCTATATGTTTATCCTCAATGTATTATTTGAAAGCAAAAAAATGAGTATTTAAAACCAAGTTAAATTTAATGGGCTTTTCAGTGGGGACAATATAGAAGAAATATTGGCAGTTATTTCTGGAGGTATGGAAATAGATATATTGCCTGCATTTTGAATACTCTTAGAATCAAACATCATGAATCTAGACATTTAAAAATTATTTCTTTTGAGTTTTCTATCAAGTACAGGTGTCAAATGTACAAAGTAAGCGTATTTTTTTTTCTGTTTAAAGGAGTGATCTAAGTTTTGTTTTAGACTCAGGGTGTTCACATATTACAGTCACATTAGGAACATGCAGAAAAGAGAGAGAGAGAGAGAAGGCCGGGTGCTGTGGCTCACACCTGTAACCACAGCCCTTTGGAAGGCCGAGGCAGGAGTATTGCTTGATTCCAGGAGTTCAAGACCAGCCTGGATGTACCGTCTCTACAAAAAATAAAAAGTCAGCTGGACCTGGTGAGGTGCACCTATGGTCCCAGCTGCTCGGGGGTACTGAGGTGAGAGGATGCCTTGAGCCCAGAAGGTTAAGGCTGCAGTGAGCTGTGATCACAACACTGCACTTAACCTGAGTGACAGAATGAAACTGCTTTAAAAAAAAAAAAAATAGAAAAATAATTGTTTCCCATCTTTCTGAAAAATTAGTTTTCAGTTTATATCAATAGCACTGAAGGTAATTTTATAGCTTACAAAAGATCTTGCGTTCTGCTGAAGTCATTCGGGGTGATGCTAAGAATTTTTTCAACAGTATGAGGAGGTGAAATGCCAGTGGCAGTTTTGGAGTGTACATAGCCTAGTAAGTGTTCTACAATAACTGCATTTATATACATGAGTTGTTCCATTCAAGTATTCTCTTTTACTTCTTTGACAGATCCATTATATATCTCTTATAAACTATAACGGATCAGAAACAATTCCTCATGTTAGGAACTTTTCCATTGAATCCACAT